CCCCCGCCTCCCCGGCGGCGCGAGACGGCGCAGGACCGCACGGGGCATGCGCGGCTGCCGCCAAGCCCCGCCCCCCCGGAGCGCCGAAGCCGAGGCGGCGGGAACCTCAAAGCCCCGGCGTGAACCGCCGCTCCCGCAGCGCGCCGGCGGCCCCCTCCCCCGCGGTGCCGGGGCCGACCGGCGGCCAGAGGGGGCCAGGGGCGACCGAGGACACGCTGCGCCGCGCCCCGGGCCCGGTGCGCGCCTCCCCTCCTCCGGCCGGAGACAACTTGGAAAAGTCTCCCTTCCCGGGGCGGGAGGGGGAGGGGAGGCGGAGGGAGTCGGCTCGAGCGGCGCCGGGGGCGGGGCCATGACCCCCTCGCGCGGGCGGGCGCGGGTTCCGGGTGCCCCTCCCCGGCGGCGGCGGGGTCGAGTAGGCCCCGGCCCGCGCCCGCCCCGCGCCCTTTTGTTATGCGGTGGCGGCGGCGATGATTCAGCCCGCGGCCTGCGCCGGCCCCGCCGCCCCCGGTCAGGACGCGCGCGGTGACGTGCCGCGGCCCTTGTCCCCCGGCCCCCTGCCCCGGCCCCGCACTCACGACGCGCTCCTTGGTGTGCTCAGGCTCGGTGATGACCACGGCCGCGCCGCCTGCCTTGGCTGCCGCCGGCCGCGCCGCGCGCTTGCCCCCGCCGGGGGCCCCGTCGAGCTCCAGGCCGTCCTCGTCGCCGCTGCTACCGCCGCCGCTGCTGCTGCTGCAGCGCTCGGGCCGCTCGCGCTTCCTGCCGGCCGGGCCACCGCGCTTCCTGGGCCCGGCACGGGCCGTGCCGTTGCCCGAGCTCGGCTCCTCCCAGGCCGCCGCCGCCTTCTTCCTGGGCATGGTCGCGCTGGAGGAGACACGGGGCAGCGGCGCACAATGGACGGGTTATAAACTGCGCGGGGGGAGGGGAGCCAGCCGAGCCACCGGCCTCCACTTCCTCCCCTGCCCTCCCCAAAGTGGCGGCCGCGGGGTGGGCGGAGAGGGGGCGAGCCGGGAGGAAATCGCGCCTCTCCTGGGCCCCGGCGCGCCTCCTCCGGGGAATCCCGCACGGGAGCCCAGGTCCCCGACTGCAATCCGCTCAGGGAAAGAAAAAAATGGAGACCCCCCCCCAGACCCATCCTCAAGTTAGGTTTGCCTACATCGCATCATAATTGCAGCCAGGTCCCCAAAAAGTAAAGGGAAAGAAAAAGGAAGTCTCTGATCCCCGAGGTTTTAATTAGAGAAGGCTTTGGGACACTTCAAAGACCCCCTTTTGGCACCTCGGTGAAGGAGCTACCCCCTCCGCGGCGGCCCCACCTGCTGCTTTTGTCTCCGCACCCCCCTCCCCAAGCCCATTCAAATGCAGTTCTCTCCACCCCCCGCCTGAGTCCTCAATTCCGCTCCAGCCTGGGGGTCCCGACCTCGGGCTCTAGCCGAATCCCTTAGGGTTGGCTGCCCCCAACGGAACGGTGGGTGGGTGGTGGCGCAAATAGAGCCGGCCCCCGGCCCCAAACACCTGCTCGCACAGACACGAAAAATAAAAACTTTAATGGTGCCCGACACTCTCCTGGCCCCTCCCCGAGCGTGCGGCTCAGCCGATCCTTCCGATCCCGGCTGCAAAAGTGCCCGGCTCCGCCGCTACTTTCCCCCAGCGTCCCTGCCCCTTCGCCCTGTCTGCTTTTTTTTTTTTTAAATTGATTTTGAACAATGGGATCTCTGTCTGTCTCCGATTAAACCACGTGGATCCGCCTTCCTTCCCCTTTTTATTCATTCAATTCCCCCAACCTCCCCCAGGTTTTTTTTTTTTTTAACCTTTTCTCCTCTTTAAAAAAAAACTTTCCCAGACCCCGCAAACTGATCATTGTCGATTTCATTTTCAGCCCCTACCTGCGTGGAGTGATGAGAAACCGGAGAGAAAAAGGAAGAGGAGACACTGAAAGAACCGAAGGGCTTTTTTCCCCCAGCCCAGACGAGGTCTCCAGCCCACTCACCAGATACACTTAAAATGTAAATACAAGCTTCCAGAACAAATGCTACAACACAAAACAGAAACACATGTGCTGCCGGGCGGCAAGCGAACGCGCGGCGGGGTCGGCGGCGCGGGTCCCGGGGCGCCCGCGCCCCCTGCCGGCCGGCGGACCCGGCGGCGGCCCGGCCCCCGCCCTCGCCCGCGGGGCAGCCCGGCCCACCGAAGCCTGCGCTGGGCGCCACGCCGCCAGCCTTTACTCCCCGGTCCTCCGCGTTTCGCAGGCGGCGCAGCACGTCCAGCGCGTCAGAGATTACTTTGGGGGTTAGGAGAGTGTTAGATTGTTTTTCCTGGGCATGTCTAGACAGGTCACCTGAGGACACTCGCTGGAAAATAGTTACTTCGCTCACGAATCCGCCAACAAGGGACGTGTCCTAATTGAGTGGAATGAAAGATGAATACAATTTGAATAATTTTCTCCTGTGCAGAGGGAAGCTGTTATTTTATTTGCCTATGGATGTGCCCCAGTATGTAGCAAGGTGCTGTTACACGGTAGAGTTACATACATAAAGGTTTGCTGCATTAGCGAATTAATTTGGAAGCCAAGGAGGCACTGGAGGCTAGTTCTAATGGAAATTTTTCATTTTTTTACAAATATTTACTGAGGCCCCAGTACATGCAAGACACACAGTGCTAGATGCTGCGGAAACAAAGCTAGAGAACAAGATTTGTGCCCTAGTGGAATGCACAGTCTAACGGTAAGACAGATAATTCAACAAGTAATTGCAAGTGTAAGTGATGGGGTTCAAGACATGCTACCCCGAATTATGCCACCTTGGCATATTGAATAAACTGTAGAAGTTTTGAGAAAACAGCAGAAGCAGGAAGGTCATTCTGACCTCCTTCCCCCAAAACAGTCATAAAACCCTCAGGTGAGAGGTGCCCTCCCTGTTCCTGGAGGACAGGGACATCCTTATCTCTGAAAACAAAGGGAAACCAAGAAAAATCCTGATAAACAAGCCTTGTTAAATTGCCCCCAGTCTACTACATTTAGCCTCAAGCTCCTTAACCTCTCCAAGTTCTCCAGACTGTCCAGGCTTCATCAAAACTAGCAGAAAGATACACAGATCTGTTTCTTTGGGTCTTCATTTCCTTATGAAGTCTCCTGTGTCATGTAAAACTTAGGTTAAAATAAATGTGTAGGCTTTTCTCCTGTTAATCTGTCTCCATCAGCATAATTTTCAAACCCAGCCAGGGACCGGGTCAAGGAACGCTTTTTTTCTCCCCTACATAAGCATTACAAAGTGATGCGTATGTAAGGACCATTAGGGCAAGGGAATTCATCCTATTCTGGGGTCGGGGAAGGCATCCCTGTAGAAAAATCACCTGAGCTGAGTGACTGACAGGGTGGGTGGAGGGAGCTGTACACACAAAAGTCCAGGGGTCTTGACATGCCTCCTGGGAGAAGTGTCCCATGGGGTTGAGAGAGAAGAACAATATGGCTCGAGCTGAAGGCGCAGGCCTGGTCTCCCCTTCTACATTATAATCTCAATATCACTTGGTCTCCTACCAAAGATTTTTACCGGCTTCCTTTTTATTTAAGCATTCTGCACAAGGAAGTTCCTACTTTAGGCAACTTCCTGAAGATGGCTAGAGTACTAGGATTTTTGCAGTCAATTAATTCCTTAACCACTATAGGAAGAAGCAGGATTCATGGGACTTCCCTGGCTGTCCAGCGGTTAAAACTCCAAGCTTCCATGGCAAGGGGCACCGATTCAATCCCTGGTTGGGGAACTAAGATCCCACAGATCCCACGTGCCACGTGGTGCCACAAAAAAAAAAAAAAAAAAAAAGGATTCAGGAGGCAACAAATGTTTAAAGGAAGACAGCGAAACCAAGAGACCTAAATCTAAGGTATTTGATCAGAGTCAAAAGTGTATGTGTGTCCAGGGAGCCAAGAGCACTTATGTAAAAGAACTTTGGAAATGAGAAATCATCTGGTACATTTCAGAGATTTTTCAGAAAGGCCAAGCACCCTTTGAAAGCCTCTTCTTAATAGTCATGTATTTAAAAAGATCTAGGAGATTAAACCTTGATATTTTGGTATAAAACATAAGTAGAGCCAGCCAAGACAAGAATTTCACCTAAATATGCCATCAACTCCCCTCCAGGAAATGGTATGCCGATGCTTGTCAAGCTGCAGTGGTTAGGTGGGTGTTTATCCTCCAAACACCCTGTGTGGCCAATTAGGAGCAGTACTGACAGTACCTTTAGATGTCAGCCAGCGAGTCTTTTTCTTTTTTCTCCTTCCCAATTATAAAGCCTTTTGCCTGCGCAAAAGACACATGCGTCAAAAACACTGATGCAGGGCTTCCCTGGTGGCGCAGTGGTTGGGAGTCCGCCTGCCGGTGTAGGAGACACGAGTTCGTGCCCCGGGCCCGGAGGATCCCACATGCCGTGGAGCGGCTGGGCCCGTGAGCCACGGCCGCTGAGCCTGCGCGTCCGGAGCCTGTGCTCCGCAGCGGGAGGGGCCACAACAGTGAGAGGCCCGCGTACCGCAAAAAAAAAAAACACTGATGCAATGAGACGCTAATATCAGATTGCATCGTATGATCCTAGGTGTGGTGCCCCGAAACTGGTTTTTCTTGAGGTCACGCTGCCATAGAAAAGCGCTTTGGGTAGAACACCCAAGAACTGACCCTACTCGTCAGATGGCAAAAGTAATTTTTGCAACTATATGCCTCAGTTCCACACCACTATTTTCACGGAGGAAGCGGGTGTGGCTTTCCTGGCTGAAATGGGTGTGCGGCCGACATTCATCAGTTACGTGTGTCACGCTGCGGCTTTGTAATGAATGTCACCTAGGGAGATGCACCTACCAGGCAGGCTGGAAACGACACTTCTGCCTCCAAGATGTGCTCTGAATTCTATCTCACTTGAATGGAGCAACTTCTCTGGGACAGACCAGTTTCGTGCAAAACTGGAAGAGGAGAAAGGAGAGAAGGTTGCGGAGGTTTCTCGGACACTTAACTGGGTGTCTGGCACTGTGTTCTAAGCACTTCACGCACGGAACTACGGAATTGTGGGTTCCAACTGCCAGCCTGCCATCACTGGGACCCACAGCAGGCTATTTTGCTGCCCCGGGTGCTCATAAAATCATACATCAAGTTAAATTAGGCTACTTTTAAGGTCCCTCCCAAAAAAGGAATGCTATTCAACTTGGCCACAGAAAGGTACACCTCCTGTTGGACAGTTAGCTTTCTGGTCCAGTGTCTATAAAAAATGATCACTGATCATGGGAATGATGCTACTGCCCACTGGAAAACTGGTCTGTGTTTGTACAGTTGGGTTAGGCTAGGACAATACAACTTGGATCTTTACCATCCAACGTGAGAGCCATACTGGAAATGTGGCTAGTGCAAATTGAGATGTGCTGTCAGTGTACTTACACTGGATTTCTAAGACTTAGGACAACATAAAAGAGTATGAAATACCTCATTAATAATTTGATTATATTGATCACATGTTGAAATGATAATATTTTTGACCTTTAGGTAAATGTAGTATTAAAATGAATATCACCTGTTTCTTTTTAATCTTTTCAATGTGGCCAGCACAAATTTTTAAATTACCTATTTAAAATTTTGTGGTTCACATTTCATTTCTGTTGGAGAGCACTACCTCCAAAAAGCATAGCTGGAAACCAGTAATTCGCTCAGGACCCAACACTTTCTGCCTCTGTTCTCTAGTTCCCCCATCAGCTAAATGGCAAGATATAGTTTGGGCTAAATTTTCAGGGGGTTACTTCTGGATTAAATGTCCCCTGATTCTAAGAACAGTAGTTGGTGGAGGCTCCTTGTCATAGTGTTTGGAAAGATGTTTTCTAGTAGAGGAAGATCTTTTAAGCCTCTTCTACCAGTGAGCCATGAAATTTTGGAATCCAAGTGGTCTTTAAATATTATCTTTGGAACTTTAGGCTCCCTAGTCTGTAAGCCCCTCCTGGGCTGGGCTTGTGATTCATTCATCTTTGTTTTTCCAGCAACCACCCAGGGCAGTCTGACTTGTGGTCAGCTGTCCATAAATGTTTGTTGACCTATATAATATCCAGACGAAGAACCAAAGCCCAGAGAGGTACTGAGACCACCTAAGGCCACACAGAGCTGGCTGGTAGGAGAGTCAAGAAGAATACAGTCCTCTTGAACCAGTTCAGGAAACCCTTGGTGTGGTACCTGGACCAGCAGAAGCTGCAACACTTGGGCGTTTGTTAGAAACACAGAATCTCAGGCCCGGCCCCAGCCCTACTGAATCTGAACCTGAATTTTTATTAAGACTTCCCCCAGGGGCTTCCCTGGTGGCGCAGTGGTTGAGAGTCCACCTGCCGATGCAGGGGACACGGGTTCGTGCCCCGGTCCGGGAGGATCCCACATGCGGAGCGGCTGGGCCCATGAGCCAGGGCCACTGAGCCTGCGCGTCCGGAGCCTGTGCTCCGCAATGGGAGAGGCCACAACAGTGAGAGGCCCGCATAATGAAAAAAAAAAAAAAAAAAAAGACTTCCCCCAGGTGATTTGTATGTATGTTAAAGTATGAAAACTGCCACCTGAAGTCATGTCACCTCTCTCAAGGAAAGCCTCCCTGTCTGTGCCCTGCAGAAGCTATTCCAAGTCTATTTCCAGGGTGAAGAGGTATAGGATGCTAGTCACCAAGACTCACATGCTGGCTGATGAAAACTAAGATTTAAAGATATTCCAGTAATATTGACTGAGCCTCTGCTATGCCCAGTACCTGGAGCCAGTGCACTTGCTTCTCTTCCTGAGGGCTTGAGGGGCTCACACTTTTGTAGCTCCAGCCACCTGCACCTCAAGGAACAAGCAGTTCTTCACAAGTCTGCCCCCCGCTGGTCCTGCTATCCTGCTTTCATACAAGGGAGTCCAGGAGAAATTTGAAATGAAACCAGGCACACCTTGGGAGTCCAATCTAGTCTTTCAGATCCAGGAAAAACAGGATCAAAATCAATTGCATCAATGTCTGTATGTTGTTTATATCTACCAGTGCCTCCCCTCTCTGCTTCTGCACTGGTGTTCGCAATTTGTGGTGTGTTCCTGGCCTGTGATAGAGCCCAGTTGGC